GTTTTGTAGGCCTGGATGCTATCCATTAGGCCATAGCGGCAAGCCATTGGGTGCGATGGGGACACCACAAGAGGGAAAGGTGTCCGAATTCTCTGCGTCACTGGCGCCTCATTGCGACACAAAATTCGCGCGTCAATTGTACTGCCCGGAATACATAACTATATATTTGCCACAAAACCTTGCGTATCCCTTTAATGGGGGTTTTGGAAGTTTTGGACTTTTCACTAGTTTTATGAGCTTTCAAAAGCTTGAAAATTTTTGAAAATCTGCTTGCTGGCCTGTGTCTTGGCTCAGGCTTGGCTACAGCTTGGCTTAGCCTTGGCTTTGGCTGAAGCCTTGAATGCTTTTCACTTTTTCCCAAGCATCTTCTTAACCCGGGGGCCTTCCTTCAAGTATTTATGTTTCTTTCTTCCTAACAATATTTCCCAATCCCAAATCACCGGAGATCATAATTAGCGGAGAGCTTCTCCCTCCCCCATTCCTATTTATTCTCTCGTTTTCCTCATCCTTTCGCCCCCCTTTTAATACCTTTTTAATGGCCTCTCCAATCATAAAAAGCATCTTTCGACATCCAAATGCTTCTCGGGGATACCTCGAGGATCCTCGAATTCTTTCGCCGTTCCCCCCCTGGGGGTGGGACAATTGGAAACATGTGCCAAGTGGCTAACGCATTTGGACCCTAGCACTATCTATTATTTTTGAACACGGTTCTTGTCGAAACCACACTTTTCGAATCTTGAAATCGAATAAAAGAAGAAATTAAAGAAATGCTCATTGATCAATAGTCTAAAAAATTTACGAAGAAAATTACAATTTTTACAGTAATCCAGCAAAATCATGCCCTTTAAATTAGCTTTAAAGCGTTTTAGACACATTTTAAAGCTTGTAGAGTCTTGAAAGATATCTGTGCATTGGTTTTGACGGTCTCGAGTAGAGAAACCGAACAAACGCATCGAGACACAGACACCAAAAACGGAGAGCCGATGGCCGATTTGTGAATCGACGCGAGATTGGGCAACGTGATTCACCTCCCGGGATAGCCCCGCAGCCCTATTCTCGGGAACATCTTTTCACTTTTTTTGTGGCTTCCGACTATTCTAAAGGGGTGTTGAAGCGTATTTTGGGCTGGCAATCGGCCAGTTAGTTATTATCAGCGAGCGCGAATTAATGAATTTCCCCCCAGGATCACGACTTTCCAGCAAAAAAAAGTCGTTTTGTAAAGACATTGGATCAAATTCTAAGCTAAACTTCTTTCCACTTCTTAGAAAATTCTAGAAATCAGAAAGTTCTGACGATTGGTTTTTTTCAGTGGCTCCATAGCAGCAAAAAGAAGTGATAAGAAGCCGAGGCTCAGTAAAGAAAAAAAACAAGCTGAAAAATCTTTCAGACCTGGAAACAAATCAGGTTTTTATATGTAGTTTAAATCATCCAAAAAAAACGTTTTTTAAGTTGCTGTTACAAAAATTCTAAAATTTAACTTTTAGGCGCTTTTGTTAAAATTTTGAATTTGTATGTTTTATAGAATCAGGACTATCTTTTTAGACAATTTTTCGACCGATCGAAAAATACAGTAAATTCCCAGTCGATTTTTTAATGCCTGACTTACATTTTTTGCAGTTCTTAAGTTTCCTATAATTCCTCAAATTCTCTCTGCCGGCTTTCCACCGGCTGATTGATGTGATCATGTGTATTGAAAGATGTGCGGTGGTGGTAGTGCCCCGGGAATATCGACATGACTCTTGGCAGGGGACCCCTCGCAGCGTTGATAGCATGCAGCAATACATCGTAATGTGGCCACGGAACGGCCCTCCCTTGGCAGCGGAGTGTCGCGTACACTTTAAGACCATACACACGCGCGGCGAGTCATCATCACCATCACCTACACGTAGTATTTGAGCGGAATATGCTAATTTGGTGACAAAACTTTAGCTTCACAAAAATAACGCTTTTTTATAGAAACGCTAAGATTTTTTTGAAGGCGATTTGCTTTGTCAAACTTTTTGATTTGCTCTAATAATTTCTAAAAACAATTATTTGCCGTTTAATTCGTATTACGTAACTAAATTTTTTTAAATGACGAAAATCTAAAAAAATCGTTTTTTGCCATGTTTTTTGATATTACGTCATTTTGTGCTGCAGTTCAGATACTTAATAGTTTAGTTGTACGGAGTGCATTTTCAAAATATCGAAAATAGCAAAAATACCGAAAACTAGCTTTTGAAAAGTTGTTCTTCATTATGCTAAAACTTTTTTATTGCATTACGTTGAACCGAGACGAAACTATATTTTTAGTATATGTATTGTTAGCAAATTGTTTTGATGCTTTGTCGTAAAAAACTTCGAAAATATCGATATTTTAGGAAATTTATAATGAAGAAACGAATATTTTGCCCCAGATGTCATTTTATCTACATTTTTCAACCTTGATCCCCGACCACTCAGGGGCCCATTTCGGCACACTTCCGTCGGGGGGTCGTTCCAAGCGGCCCGCCCGCCACTAAACGGCTTCAGCCCTCCGCCCCGCAAACAGCTGGAATAGTTTGCCCTCGGGCTACGCCGGTGCGTGCGGCCGTTCCGCACCACCTTGCAGACGTCTTTCACCACCAACACCAGGCTTTTCCCTTTTCTGAAGGCTCGAAGCGGGCGGAAAGTTTGGACTGGCGGGAGGGAGGGGAGGGCCCTCCACTGATAAGCCCTTCTTCGCCCGCACCCACTTCGGCCCTCCCCCTTCCGATCGCCTTTTCCTTCCTTTGTTTGGTGAGTGTTCTCCCTCTTTGCTCTCCGATTTTATGATACCTTAACCAGCCCGTTGATCATTAACGTTGCGTCATCGGTTCCTGCTTTGAGTCAGGAGGCTGGAATTTTGGTGTGGTAATTAAAGCTGCAGGAAATGTAAAGATCACCTCCGTAAAATGGCTGTGATTTAAGAGGACGTTAGGTATCAGTTGTTTTCTTGGTTTTGCATAGGATTTGATTGCTTCCGAATTGTTCATTCGTCTCTCTCTCTCTCTCTCTCTCTCTCTCTCTCTCTCTCACTAAACATAGGATACGTAGGATAACGGGGAAATAACGAGGGGGCACTCAAACTTTTTATATGATAAAAGTATTTTTAAATATGCTTTTTTCGGGCTGTAAAAAAAACTCTTAGTATATTTTTCGGTCCTCTATCGAATGGCATTTTCAAAATCTCGAAAATATTCAAAACGCCGAAAATTCCCCCCCCCCCCCTGTTATCCTATGTGCTGCCCATAGTTTTCAAAAATAGTTTTAGGCTATAAAACTTTATAATACATTTTTCGCGTTGTAAAAAAATCTCTTAGTATATTTTTGATGTTCTATCGATTCGCGTTTTCAAAATATCGAAAATCTCAAAAATTTGGCTTCCCCCGTTATCCATGTGCTGCCCATGGATTTTGCACAATTTTTGTTTATTCGATAAAAAATTTCATTTACATTATTTCGGGCTGAAATTAATTTTTGCTAGGGCAGTTTTCGACGCTTTATCGAATGACGTTTTTAAAATACCGAAAATTTCGAGAATTTCGAAAATTTGACTCCCCCCGTTATCCTATGTGCTGCCCATAGATTTTCCTCAATTTTGTTTATTCAATAAAAAATTTCTATTACATTATTTTGGGCTCAAATTAATTCTCTTAGTATATTTTTCGACGCTCTATCGAATAGCACTCGCAAAATCCCTCAGTAATTGCAAATTTCATAATAATGAGTGCCCCCCGTTATTTTATCCCCCCCCCCACCCCGTTACCCTATGTGTACCGCTGTTTTCTTGGTTTTGCATAGGATTTGATTGCTTCCGAATTGTTCATTCGCTCTCTCTCTCTCTCTCTCTCTCACTCATTTGATTCTCATTTTCAGTCTCGCATTCTCGCGGTCCTGATCCTTCTCACCCTTACTATCGATCTCTCTTTCTTTCCCCCCGATTCTCACTCCGTCTGTCTCTATCACTCCCGCTCTCTCTCGCTCTCTCTCACTCTCTCACACTCTCTCTCACTCTTTCACTTTCTCTCTCTCTCTATCGCTCTCTCTCTCTCTCTACTACGCGTTCTCTAGCTCGTGTTTTTCTTGAAGATCATAATTTTTTTGATTCTTCCAGGGGTAAGCAGTAGCTTTTTTGGAGATGGCATTGCCGGGGCCGGCCCTGCAGCCGAGCGGTTCATCAACAACAACAACCGGTCGGGGCCAGGAGGGGCGACGCTGTACCTGTTGCCCCTATGGCTACCATATCGACCTGGATTTCGTGTCGTTCGCGGAGGATGTGGTGGGTTGAAACGAGAGAGAGAGAGAAAGAGAGAGAGAGTGAGAGCGGGAGAGAGAAAGAGAGCGAGAGACAGATAGATAGAGAGCACGTTAGAACGAGACATTTTTCAGATCCGCGGCACCAGCCGAGGAGCCAGAGCCAAGACCCCGACCCTATCCTCCAAATCCAAGCTCATGGAAACACCTAGAAATCTTGTATCCCCGTTGGACAGTCTATTCAGGTAAGTTCTCCGAAAATTTCGCCCCTGATGACCTTGATAGGGTGATGGGAGGGCATTTCGAGTCAGGTCTACCTCTCAATTAATTATGCCCTCCCTTCCGCCGTGCACTGTCAGCAAGCAGGGCAATGATTTTCAAGGTCAAATTCCGTGGATTCCCCCCTTCGCGCACGAATTTTGATGCGAGAAAAACATGCCTAGGGCGATCAGTGAAATTGCTAATTAGCCGGAGTTTTGGGGATTCTTGAGAAAAACAGAAAACAGAACCGAAACAGAAAATTTAAATCACGAAGGAATGTGGAAAAAATTTATTTCATTTGGTGTCAGAATTGGTTCGAAATCACCGAAAATAAATACGATTATGGGATCGACGCGCCCGTAAAAATCAGCTGCGAATAGAACCTTTTTATGCAAATTACCAAATTCATTTTGCCATTTTTTGTCATTAAAATCACCAAAAAAGGTCTACAACAAATTTCTAATTTTAGTGACTCCCTCGAAAATATGATGTCCGACTTTGAGGAGGTGCTGGACAAAAAGGAGCGGTTCGATGAGCGAGACGCATTTTTTGAGGGCGGCTATCAGTCGGATTACACCGGATATCACTCGAGACCAAGTAAGACAGGTTGCTTGGGCTTAAGCTTTGATTTTGGCTTAGGCTTAGGCTGCGGATTACTAGACCTTATTAGTTAAAGTTATTTGCCATCAGGAACTGACATCATAGCGTTACGGGGTTTAAGGGGCGAGAAAAGGTAGTCTTCTCTTTCTCTTTCTCTCTCTCTCTATCTCTCTCTCTCGCTCTCACTCGGGTTTGTGCCCGGTCAGCTGTGACATTCGCGCCCATCTCCCGAACGTTCGCGCCGCAGGTAAACAACAATTGGCTCTTACGGGGAGCATAGCCCAATCAACCCCTAAATTTGCATTCTTTGGGGAGTTCAGTTAAATAAAAAATTTTAAAAATGGTTTTTTGTTGGGGGTTTTGTTTTTTTTTTTTAGGGGGGCCCTCCCTCTCCCCCCCCCCCCCCCCCTTTCCCCCCCCTTGTTTTTTGGTGTTTGCCCGGGGGGGGGGGGGGGGGGGGTTGTTTTTGGCGGGGGGGGCCCCCCCCTTTTTTTTCCGGGGGGGGGGGGGGCGGGGAATATAAAAAGAGAGCGTGCAAGAGCGAGAGAGAGATAGCGCGAGAAAGAGAGAGAGAGAGAGAGAGAGAGAGAGTGAGGGAGCGACAATGAGCGATACTGCGATGACAATTTTAAAATCCAGCCGAATCTTTTCTTCAGAACCCCTCTCCACCGTCCCGCACTATCGGCAGAATCGACCGGATCCATTGGCGTTTGATAATGGTACGACCCTGCATGCCCCCTTTAAAAAATCCATAACTCAGCCATCGCCAAGGGCAAGTACAGCAACGGGGTGCGGGCGCAGATTCAGAAGAGTCAACGTGAGTTATTTTACGGAATTGGACTTTTTAGCGCAAAAAAATCCAATCGTTTTTCGGTAGATTTTTAAACGTGTAAGCTAAGCTAGAAAAGGAAAAAATCAACGGCGCGTACGCAGCGTGGCAAAATGCCGCAGATTTGCACTAAAATAATACCGAAAAAATGCATATCCGCTACTTAAGGTCCCTTTGAAGGTTTGGGCATGGCAACTGTTTGTTTGCAGATTTCCTATGGATTGTTTTAGGGCCAGCGCAAGCCAGGTAATCGCTGGATACCCTAATTACGTGACGTAGTCAATTGCATAAGGCATAATTCGTCGAATATAGAAAATAGAAAAATGCATATACATACCTTACGGGCCCCATTAAGATGTTACAATCACTACTTCTACAAATTATCTGCTATTGTCTGACTAAACAGTAGGCCCAGCGCCAAGAGTGTTGTTTGAAAATGGTATTAGCCGGGCCCCGGGTGCCCCCAAATGTTGACCTCTCCCCCCACTGGGACAGCGAATAAGAAGAAGCTGACCGGTCATGTCGTGGCCACTTTCCATCGTTTTTTTACGGTCCCGGTGCCTGAAAACCTGATTTTTTTGCAGCGATCACAGCACTCGGGCGGACGCTTTCCGAAATTAAGGCCCGCCAGAGTATGGAGACGCTGGTGGAGAGGTCGGTTTCACTCGAAATAGCATCTTTTTTAAAGTAATCTTGATTTTAAGTTTGTTTTGTTACTATTCTAGGCCCTGGTTAGTTAAATCCAAAGGTTAAAATTAGTTTAATTTATGAGTATTGATTTTATTTTCTGTATTTTACGTACTCTTCGCGCAGTAATGAACGTTCAAAAAAACACTTTTAGTAGTCCCTCTCGTCCCTCTTCCACGACCCCTTTTGACCCGGCGCTTCTCACCTGTTCCTCGAGGCTGACCACCAGGAGTGAGCACGATCTGCTGCCGCCAAAGTCTCCGAGAACCGAGTGAGTTGGATCCGCTGTCTTTTTATTGCGTAATCGATTAGACACGATACACGTTCGTGTTGTCCGGAGGCCGAAATCCATCGAAAATCGTTAAAACTATATTAATTAAAATCCATATGTATGTATCGTATGTATCGTTAAATTATATTAATTAAAATCCATACGTATGTATCGTTAAATTTTTGCCTTCCGAGCCCCTTTAAAAGTTGATTACTGCTACTTTACACCATTTTCAGGACCAGTAATCTCCCGTGGAGAAGCCCAGGGACCGCAGCCCCACCGCCACTACCGAAGGAAAGCCGGTAAATACATAAAAAGAAAAATTTTGTCAATTTCCAATACAAGAATAAATGAAGAATCTGTTATTTATTAAACACAACTATTTTTTTAGCACAACAACCCCTTCAAACCCCGGCAACATAGAGGAATTTGCCTCGATGCGACGTGGCCGCGAAAGTGGGCTACCAGCGCCGGAAGGACCCCGGATACGATACTACTCGGCTTCACCAAAATTGCCGAGGGTAGGAATTTGGCTTAAATTACTTAAATTTAATAGTTTAACCGCTTAAATCCAAAACGCGAAATATTTTTAGGCCTTTTATAGCAAAAAAAATGGCATCTGAACGGATTTTTCAGAGATTTACGGCAGCGCCGAACTTGGATGAAGCCGGGCTGAATGGCCATCCAGCGGAAAATGGGGTACGTTTTGTATATTAATTTTACAGATTTATTGAAAACTTTTACAGTTTTTCTAGTGAAAAATTCTCGAAAACTATCTGTTTTTAGCACACTAATGGCCACCACCATCCTCCGGTCGCTCCTCCAAAACCGCCACCAAGAGATGTACGTTTTTTCATAAAACATCATTTTTTAAGTTTTTTCATCTAGATTGCCATTCGTTTTTATGTTACAAAACATTGCTTCAATGAACTTTAGACACGCTCGATTTCCGTTGGCACCGGCCCAATCCCACCGCCGAAACCCTGCATCGAGTGCCCGGAGCTGAAGAAGCGTCTCGACTACGTTGTCGCAAAGTAGGAATCCCACAAAAACTATTAAACATGAAATTATTTTAGTTCACCCATCCCTGAGAAGCCCAAGATGCGCGAGTCCGGTACTTGTACGGCGGCTAGGCCGGTGGGTAGTCAATTTTTATTTTGTGATCCTTACTCATAGGCTTTTTGCTTCTATCTCTCTCATTCCACCTTTCTCTTCTCTCTCTCTCTCTCTCTCTCTCTCCCTCTCTCTCTACATCCTTCCATCTTTCCTTCTCTTTCTAACTCCCCGCTCGCTCTCGCTCTCGCCCAACCCTCTCTGCTCTATGTCGACTAGGCACGGCGCATTTCGCCATACACAAAGTGCGTAGTGCGTAGTACCGCAACGTACTCTTACGTAGCGTAGTGCCAATCGATTCAGTCGGTGGGTTACGTCAATATGCGAAAGTGCGTACTGCGTAGCAGTGTAACGTACGCGTAAGATACCTATAGAGAATCATATCGAAATCATTAGCGAAAGTACTTGCCCTAGTTTAGTTTAATTAGTGAAAGTATGATGACTATAGTTGTCATTTCCATCCCTCACCCCCAATAAATTAAACCCCGTAATCGTCGGCGTCCGCCTAGGCGCCTTTTGTAAAAAACGTCTTCATACCGTCGGAGGGAACCCAAGAGGAGCATGAGCAAGACAAGCACGCACATAAAGCACTGGTATGAGCATGAGCAAAACCATGTCCCTTCGCCCCGCAGTCCTTTAGACCCGTAATAAAAGAGTCGTAGCGACTCACCCGCTCCACGGACACAATCCCATGCAAAGATGTTTCCCCGACTCTCACTACCGGCTGGGAGGAATCCATTCCTCTGGTCCATTCTAGTACCGTTCTATCCTATGGACACCCTGAAAGATTGCAATCACAATTCGTGGGCCTGGGACTGGGTGCAGGTGCGAATTTGGAGGATTTTTACATCGATCACACTTACTTTTTTGTATTTATTTGTATTGAAATTTATCGAAGAATATTTATTTCTTTTTCAGCATTAATTAGCAAAAAGCCAATTTTGTGTAGATGATCATGAAAACCCGAAATTCTTGGCTTCTAGATTTTTCTTGAAATTGGTTTTGACCTTGCATTTTTTGTATCCGAATTTTTAAAAATGATTTAAGGATTTCCTAAACTTGTTAATATGCATAAGTCGCGTAAGAAATTTATGTTGCTTAGAAAGGAATTATTTTTAACAATATAAGTGTGTTTTCGTAGTTTTTGATAGGTCATTTCCCGTATCTTCCCATCAACAGTGAGTTTTGAAGAATTTTCGAAAATATTTGGACATATTCAAGAAACACGAAACAAAGGAATTTTTGAGGTTGTGCCTCACAATAAAGCAATTAAATCGAAAATTTTACAATTCACATGTTGTTCATCTCCCAAAAACTTCTTTCCAGACGGTCAGCGACGCGTGCATCGGCGCCGACAAGCTCACCCAGATCAACATTGGCATCGTTACGGATAAGTATGAAGAGCCGAAACCGGAGGTCCTGCATCAGGTGATTAATTTTTCTGAAATTTATGGTTTTTTAGGAAGCTCAAACGCCCCAAAAAGAGCAGCTCTCCGTCGGTGTCGAAATGCGCCCCAAGATGTGCACCGTACACCTCGATACTTTTGATCTGGAGAAACGCGAGCTGGCCCATACATCGTGTAACACGGATGGGGAATTTGGTTAGTCTATTCGAAAAAATTTTTGATCACAACTTTGAAAAATTTTGAATTTGTGAATGACCGATAGATTTTTACCTTCTATACTTAATTCTTAAATATTTATAAGTAATAATTTTGATGCATGTTTTTAGGGTTTTATGCCCTTAAAGGGCACGTTCAGGGACGTTTTTTTGGAAAAAAGCAAACATTTTCGCCGCGGCCGGGGGTCGAACCCGAGCCCACCGCTCGGGTGGCGCGGATGGATACCAGTCAGCCACAGCTACAACCTGGCAAGGGGGCGAGGGGCGCCCCACGCCGCAAAGGAGGGGAATGGCCTGTCACAGCACGGGCAGGCAGTGCGCGCGGTCCCTACGTCCATAGGGTGTACACGTTGGGACGAGTACACGGCCCCTCCCTGAACGTGCGCTTTAAAGTGGCCAAAATGGCATAATCCTTTTAATTTAATGAAATTCCATTTGAACTGGTTGTCGGCATTATCGCTTTCGGCTTTATGGCTGTCGGGATTTCGGCGCTTTCCCATTCCCCGTTGCTGATTGGTAATTTACATATCACGGGCGCCTTTTCAATTTTTTCCCACCCACATTTGCCTAAAATCCTGAACCCGATCCCGGCATGCCAGTCTCGCCATACAGTTGAGAGAAGAGCGAGAGAGCGATAAGAATTGGCGCGAAAAGCCTATTCTTCCGGCCATCCAAACCCCCTCTTCCGAGCATTCTGTCCAACAAAAACGGCCGATCTAACATTCTCCCCCCTTCTGTGAATGCAACAATGAAAAAGCGCCTGCTCCGTTCTTTACGACCTTCCTGTCTACGTGGTATGGGTTGGGTTATTAGTTTTATGTTATGGGTATTGTCGCGTAGGGACAATCGGGTAATTTAGCGTAAATTGGTGCTAAGTGTACTGGCAAGAGATATTTATGTTTTAGCGTTATTTCGAGGAAGATTTTGCTTCAGAAAGCAACCTTCAAAGGGACGTGCAAGGCATTACTAACAAGGGAACCACCTAAGGTCAAGATGACGTTTCGGTATGGGACTAACTAAGCATATTTTGTGCAGAATTTTTCGCTGATTCCGAATCCGCTTTCAATTTCTCCTAAATAACCCAATTTTAAAAGTCATAGCGTTTCAAAAAATTACACTTTTATGGGGCGCGCAATGGCGCGTGGCGTATCGTGGGAGCGGAATTTTTTAGGGTATCCATCGAGCGTAAAATCTATAGCGTTACTTGACTTGTCCCTGTAAAACGTCTTTTCCCCCGCGCTCTTTCACTCGCCATTTTCAGTCCCAGCCGAGCCATCAGTACCCGTCGAAGAAAAATGCTACGTCGACGGCCACTCTCAATTCGAGACGATTACGGTAGAAGTGGGTTGCGGTGCGCAGATTGACGTGAAACACAGGTTTGAATTTAAATTTTTGAAGATTCCCACGGGCATTGAAAAAGGTCTTTACCGAGCTATACGGCAAGCTAGCAGAGGCCCTTTTGGTGTCCGCGATGGCTTGAACTTACGCTAATAAGGGAAATTCCAGTGAAACAATGACAAACCGCGTCTACCAACGAACGCTACCCGTGCAAACTACCGAAGTGGAGACGAAAGAAATGGCCTGCAGTCCTGTCGCATCACTTTTAGAGCTTCATATTGAGGAATTGAAAGCGCAGGTTAGTATTTGGCTTATTTAGAAAATCGATTCATACCTCCGCCTTGCCATGTCCTTTAAAAAATTGCAAATTTGCCCAATTTATTAAAACGACTGTCAAGAATACCTTCCTTTTAGCTAGCCGCCGCTTCGATCGCCTCCTCCCCGGTTACTCCTTCCACTTCAGATGCCGAGGCTCAAACAGAATTGGGTATGAAATTAATGTCAAACCAGGGTTGAAAAGCCGCTGCGCGACTTTTCAACCCTGGCCCCGTCTGAGCCCATGATATCCTGTACATTGCATAATTCGGCCGAATTTCGATGAGAAATAATGAAAAATGCACCATCTCCGTCGTTATATAGACTGCCGCCACTTCCGGCTTATGCTAATTAATTCCTAACAAAGAGGCGGTCCGATTTTTTAACAAAAATTGATTTTTAATGTCGAAAATAGCATAATTTGCAAAATCTGGTAAGCGTGCAGTGATCTCCAATACATTACGCACCTAATGACGTATCATACGTAGCCTAATACCCTTCCCCCCTTGAGATATCCTCCGGACACCCTGACGGAAGTTGCATGCAAAGTGTCACACACACACACACACACACACACACAAACACTATTTTTTTATATATAGTAGGATTTCCAAATTTTCTGCAGAAATCGAGCTCCTTCACGAGCTGTCCGAGCCGCGGCTTTTTGCTGAGGCTGAATTGACGGATAGTATCTGGTTATCGCCCGAGAAAGTGATGTCCGATGCGTCTTGCGAGACTGAGGAGGTATGAAGCGGTTTTAAAGGGACTAGGAGGCTAGCTGGCCTGTTGATGATTGCCTGTATTGGCCCTTCTTTCGGCTAGGTCTAGACAGCTATGATATAGTTAAACGACGTGTTTTAGCGTATCTATGTTTCGGTATTATCTAGCGCAGATTGTAGTTGTCGAGACCTGATCGTTAGTAGGTAGATTCTGGCGCTTTCTAACACCTTTAAGACCCAGCTTCAACTTCCGCATCCACCAACGTAATTCCATTTTCAGGTTCAAGCTCCGGAATGTGAAAAATGCCACCAGAAAGAGAACGTCTTCTTGCGAAACGTGGGCGTTGGGGCTTGCTCGGTGACGGACAAGGTTTGTGGAAATTTTGGGGATTTCGTCGCACTACCCTTAAATAACCATGATTCACGTGTGAATTTTGAAGTGTGAACATCACAGGCCCCCCCTCGGCATTTGGCCGTTTCCACCAATCGGGACCAAAACCAGGATGGAGACCCAAAAAACAGCAGCCGAATTTCGACGCAAAATATTGTAAGACAAAAAGTATATTGAAATTAAGGTTATTTTGCCGATTCACTAGGATTTTGATGGATTAGGGCCCGGAACTTTAGCAAAAATGAAGAGGGCACGCTTTTCGACCTGTAAAAATTTTTTGATTTACGAAAATTACGGTTAAATTGGGCCTTAGACACTTTTTATTACGAAATTGCCAGAAACTGACCGGAGACATTTTGGAAAATTACCAACCCGCATGCTAATTGCGAAAACATAGCCAAAAACGAGTACCAGCGTTCCGAAAACAGTTTTAGGATAACTTTTGGTTTACAATATTTTGCTTAGAAAATTTGGCTGCACATAGTTTTTATGGGTCCCCACAACTGGTAAAAATTTGGCCCCGATTCGATAGAGACGGATGCCGAGGGGGTTTGGGACACCCTGTACACTAATCGTTAAGAAAAGAGAGCGAGAGAGCGCGAAAGAGAGAGAGAGAGAGAGAGAGAGAGAGAGAGAAAGAGAGAGAGAGAGAGAGCAAGGGTGAACCTCACCCCTTCCGTTTCTAGGTGTGTGCCGGTTGTGATGAGGCCATGGCCGAAGTCGATGAGAATGAGGTTTGTCCACTTGCACCTGCATGAAATTTTTCGTTAATTTTAGATACTTTTCTCTGTATAGGTTGATGCAGCAATACACGCTGTAAAAACCATGTTTTAGGTCCCCGGCTTCTCCCCACCGACCATCGAGTTGACCCGGGCAACGGCAACCAAAAAGCTGCTCGAGCAGACGACACCATTTGTCAGGTAAGGGGTGGAAATTTTTGCATATTCAAGTTTTTTGTTTTTTTAGAGGCACCCAAATTTCGCGGTCTTGCCGCGAGACGAAACGGAGCAATTCGGGAGACGATTTGGAGTACCTGGAGCAGCAGCATATTAAGAAGGCGCAGGTGGGACTGAACTGACTGAAAAAAAAACTTTAAAAAAAACAAAAAAACAAAACTGAAAACATCTAGAAACTGCTAAAATTCGAATTCCCGACATTTTTCCCAGGCCCCAATTCGATACGGGTAGAATTTTGCCTTCCTAGTCCCTTTAGGCTTACCAAGATATCCTACAGCTTTTAGCTCTGAGCTTTTGAGCAATTTTGGAGCCACAATTTCCTTCTGGACTTGTCTGGGCCCCGCGACACGCAACGCGCACGCCGCCATATGGCTTTGTAAAGCCGAAATCCATTACGTAACGGAATTATGGGCGCAGCGCGTTGCATGTTGCGTATTTTTTCGCTTCCGGGTCCCTTTAAACCCCCTGACTCCAGCAGTGGGATCCTCCAACTTTGATACGATTACTGTTAGCCACCTAGCCACAGTACCGAGCCGGTGGTGCAGAACCTGTCTTGAGTAGCGCTGCGTAGGCCGGCACCTGGAACATATCCGAGCGGTGTTCCCTTTCGGATCAGCACCGCCACCACTACCCGACTGGCCACTTTTTAGCACGAGGCTGTGCTCCTGTGGTCCGGAGCATCGTTTCAGGGGAGCCTCGGGAGATTAGCCAAGCGTTTTTAGGGGGGTAGGAAAATCCCATGCGTTCTGTGTCAGGTTTCGCATTTCGATTCCATTGCGCTCCTCTTTACGGGTCGGTTAAAGGGGTATGACACCTTTGGCTCCACTTATCGGGTATTCGTTAAATTATTTTAAAAATTGAACTTTTTGCAAGATGAAACGCTTTGTAAATTCCCCAGCCATCCCAAGCGCTTTAAAAGCCATCAAATCGCCACTGTTGCCTCGTAGCATGACGGAATTCGAATCGCTAATGTATCGAGAAAGGCGCGCGAGCGCTGACGGGGGCAAAACGATGGGTTTGCAAAGGGGGTTCAAGGGGGGTGAAGGAGCTGATTGTGATTTCCCCTCCCACCACCCCTCAATTCCCCTTTAGGGGGTTTGAATTGTGAAGGATCGGCACTCAAGGTCTCTCTCTCTCTCTCTCTCTCTCTCTCTCTCTCGCTACAGCCCTTGTCATGTAAATCGTGAAATGCCCGCTGATGCGTGGTGTATGCCTTCTCGACAGTTTACGATCAGTTTTTCTGTCGAGAGTAGGAGAGGTTTTTGGAATATTTAAGGTTTTTGGTAGGCATGCGAAATTAGTGATTTGCTATAATAAACTGTAAGATGTTTTTAGCGTTTCTATATGCCAATTAGGGGCTCATCTATGTCTCGTTTCCTCCGGCTTCTCTCTCTCTCTCTCTCTCTCTCTCTCTCTCTCTCTCTCTCTCTCTCGCTCTCTCTCTCCTCTCTCCTCCTTCTCTCCGCCTTTCTTTCTATGCCCGTCGTTCTCTACGCCTTTGACCCTTTTAAAGGGATTGACAAGTCATGCTCATCCCCAGACATGGCAATCGGCCGGGCCGCGCGGCTTTTTCGGCCGCAAAAATTAGAATGCGGCCGGGCCGCGCGGCGGCCGCACTTCCGGCGCGGCCGCGGCTTTTCCGTTTGAGGCCGCGCGGCTTTGAGACCGCATCCAAATGAGTTTGAGTACTCCGGCACGTAAATCAGAGATGCAATGCGTATTTAGCCTGCTAGCGAGGAATATCCATACTCCCAAACCTTAATTTTCTTATTTCCATTCCCATTTGGCCTGAAATTCGCGGTTTTTCGATATGTAAATGAGCCACTTCCGGTTTGCGGCTTGGCCGCAGCGGCCCGGCCGAGCCGCGATGAAAATGCGGCTCGGCCGCGAAGCCGCATTTCCGGAAGTAACTAATTACGGCGGTTCGTAGGGGGCCCGCGTTTTTTATGGAAATTAGGCCGCCGGCCCGGCCGCGCGGCTCGGCCGATCGGAATTGCCAGTCTGCTCATACCAACAGTTCATGCTCGTTTTCAAGCGCTAGATAAGCCGTTCCTGCCCTATGACAATAAATTAGCGCCTTCCCCTCATCCTCCTCCTCCCCTAGCTTTTGAGGTTTCGCCGTCAAGGCCACAAAACGTCAACCTCCGATCCGATCGTTGGCTTGCTTAGCGTGTTCTCATCTCCATTTTTCGCTACTTGAATACTCTATCTTTTCTACCACTTCTACTTGTCATTTTTCGATACCGTTGGGCTAACGAGCAGCCTATTTCCGAAATGATCTCGATAAATGGGTGCAACCTGTACATCACTCGGGTGGTGATGAATGATGATGGACCAGGGGCTGCAGCTACGGAAAGCGAGCAAAGCTATGGATCCGATGGGGGCTATTACTCGGCCGAGGAGGTATCGGTCATTAACCCCCGTGACTGTTTATTCTTAACGGGACTAGGAAGGCAAAAACTACCTAAGATGTCTAAAAAGACTTAAAAATAGAACTAAAATAAAAGAAAGAAATTACAAAGCAAGAAGTCAGGAAATAATGACAAAACCGAGCTTAAAGGAAGGCTACAAATATAAAACTTACATTTTAGAAAGAGCCATCACCTTCGTCTGCCCCAACCGTTCCATCCATTGATAACGCGGAAGCGCTGACCGGAAAGGTCGTGCTCAAGAAGGTAGACTTAACATTGAGTGGTTTCTCTTGTCTGGCTCTCTATCTTACTCGTTCTGTTCTCTCTGTCGCTCGCTGTCTCTCTCCCTCTCTTTTTCTCTCTCTCTCTCTCTCGCTCTCTCTCTCTGTCTCTCTTTATCTCTCACACGCTGTCCATCTCTCTTTATCTCTCTCCTCTGTCTCTTGCTCGCTGTATCTCTCTCTCTCTCTCTCTCTCTCTCTCTCTCTCATTAATTGTGTATTTTAAGGAACCAGCAACTCCTTCACCATGCAAAGTTCCGGACCCGATCCCAGCTCGGATTCCGCGGCCAAAGATTAGCAAGGTATACTTTGGAGTACGAATTTTTTTATATATCATTCTTGACTGCCTGTACACCTTTAAAAGGAACTTGTTTGGCTTAAAATGGGTTTTAATAACTTTTATAGCAACCCTTTTACAGTACGCCGTCCCCACACGGTGAGGCCGAGACTCCAGATGAGATGGACGAGGCTCAGGATCGGCTCACTCCGCTGCGCTCTGAGCTACGGGTACTCGGAAGGTGGAATCGGACAAATACCTACGAGCCGCCAGTAGAAGAGCGATCATCAGAGGGGACGAGGACCAGGTAAAACTCACTCTCTTTATCCTGACCGCTGGCTGTCACTCTCCCTTTAAAAGTTTTTTTACTATTTTGTACACTGCTGTACGGGTACGTTTTGTTGACCTTTTCAGCCGCTCCCTCCCGCGGACGTTCATTGTGAACGCTGTGTGGTGTACGAAGGGGTAAAGATGAATTACGTGTATAGTATCGCTTAGTTTAAGCCAGTACGGATAGATCCTAATTTCTTCCGCCCTTGGTGTATTCTGCCCCCCAATTCACATCCCGTGTAGATGCCTATTCACTAATCTGGAAAACGTACTGGAAAACTCTAAAATTCTATATTTTTCAGCGATTCGGATGGTGAGGGCGCCGAGTCCGACGACAGTGAGGGGACCTACGAGTGTCAAGTAAGTATCAAAAAATCATTTTAAGCAAATAACCTAGAAAAAGTAAAAAATTACTGTAGCCATTTTTTTAAGAATTTCTTCGTTTTTTGACCTAATGATATTTCGAACTATTTCTGTTTCCACTTTCTATTTAGCTTCAAATATTTTTAGAATCGCAAAATCCTAATTTATTGATAAATTTTACAAATTAGCGAACAATTACGGTTACCTATTTATTACTATTTATTCGCACTTTTGAAATTTAGCCAAAAAAGATATTTTTGCATACCGCAACGTACCGAAACGATGCCTTAAAATTCCTAAATTGCAGATGCTAGTTGGCCTTCTAAAAACAATAATCAAACATTTTTTAGGACGAACTCACCGAGGGCACCCCATTCGAAATCTCTGCCCCATTGATGGACGCCCTGAATTCGTTGAATGGTCATCTACAAAACACCGAGAAAGAGCCTACGGTAGGCTTCCGAAAGTACACTAAAATACTCCTTACGCTATAGGAATGGGCCCTAAAATACGTTCAGCACGAGTGGCTGAAAACAGCGGCGAGGAAGAATTCACAGGCTGCACATGTTGAGGTCGATGAGCTCAGACTCCCTGATATATTTGAGTGTTAAGGTCCTCCTTGAGGCCGTCCGGGGTATTGATGTCAAGCTGCTGAAAGCCGTTGTCAATCTGACCGACCAGAATGGGAATTCTGCGCTGCATTATGCGGTCTCGCACGGGAATTTCCCGGTTGTGTCGTCGTTGCTGGACTGTGGGGAGTGCGAGCTGAACTTGGCGAACAAGGTGGGACTTCGGCTTAGGTTCAACCATATTTTTTGGGTGGGGTTGGGGCGGGGGTGGGGGGGGGGGGTTTTTTTCGGGGGGGTGGGGGGTGGGGTGGGGGGTCCCCGGGGGGGTTGGTTTGGGGTGGGGGGTGAAAGTGGGACGGAAGACCTCCGCTTGTGAATTCTAGCTTTCTAAACCTATTTTTCAGGCCGGCTACACCCCTGTAATGCTGGCGGCACTCAGCAACCTGGACGACGACATCGAGAAGACTGTCGTCGCCAGGTACCGATTTTTCGCAGCCCGGAATCAACCTGAAATTCCATTTCCAGACTCTTCCAAGCCGGTGACGTCAACGCGCGGGCTACACAACACGGCCAAACTGCTTTAATGCTGGCGGTATCCCATGGAAAATTCCCCACCACGCAACTGCTCATTGAGAATGGGGCTGACGTTAATATTCAGGTAGGTTGAAATAGAAATCGTGAATCGAGTTTATATCGATAAATTCCAGGTCTTTTAATAGAGAAATTCGACCTGAAAGCAACCGAATTCCATTTTTCTAGGATGAGGAGGGATCCACAGCTCTTATGTGCGCAGCTGAACACGGCCACCGTGACTTGGTCAAGTTGCTCCTCGCCCAGCCGGATATTGATGCTCAGCTGGCCGATTGTGTAGGTTTTGCGTAGTCAGAAACTTAGCTAATGCTAGGCTCAGTCGCTACCTCAAGCTCAGGCTCAGGCTTGAGCATAGCTTGTCTATCTCAATCCGTTGCAGGACGCCTCTACCGCCCTGAAAATCGCCGTCGAGAATGGGCACAGCGACATTGGGGTGCTCATCTATGCGCATCAGACTTACACCAGGCCCGACTACGCATAAGGGAGGGAGAGAGAGAGCGAGAGAGAGAGAGAGAGAGAGAGAGAGAGAAAGAAAGATGCTTTTTTGCTCCCCTGATTTTTGTCATCCACCTTCAGCTCAACACCACAAACTTGCCTTGAGAATTCCCGGATATTGATTTCTACCTTTTTTGCAACTAAATTTAATCAAATTACTTGTTACCATAAGTTTCTCAGCCCTTACCTCCAAAACTACATAATTTATTCCACACCCTTTTTGTCCACTTGAATCTGTGATTTTTGAGAATTATTCGCCCAATGGAACTTCTACATTTCACTGGCGATAGTACGCTTTGGTACTCCTCTTTCTTCAAGTTTTGTCGTTTTTCTACCTGAAGAATTTTGAAAACGATTTTTCTAATGAGCTGATGAGCCAACATTTTAAAATTCGAGGCTTGCCATACAAAACGGCTAAGTTCACGAAAAAAGCTAAAAAGTCAAGGAGTACTGAAGCGTACTCGTCAATACCCTTTTCTACCACTACGAGTATTACTGTATACGATATCAAGAAAGTGAAAAAATAAATGATTTATAACGTTATTCTGGCAAGCCTGACATGTATTGATCCAACTGAGCAAAAAAAACGGTAGGTAACGAGCATACAAAAATACAATTATCCACTTAAAACAGGAAAATTAAGATAAACCTGAACATAATTAGCATACAAAATAGAGTTATACAACATTATTAACTGAATTAAGTCGATCAAAATGGATACGGTAGCACACACGGCGAATCGGGGAGGCAATACTTGGGCCGGAGGATCTGTATTGTGTCGGAAAACATGAGTTTTTAGGGTTTTTACTTCATTAAAATTTTTAAAGGGACTTGGAAGGCAGATCTGTAAATCTAGATTAATACAAATCATATCTTCCAAGCCTCTTTAAAGCTTGAAAAATCGTTAAAAATTGCACAAAACGTAAAAATTGGACTGAGATGAGATGAGGGGACTAGGTAGAGCAGAATCCGATCGTTATAAACGGAATGTGAAATATTTAAGAGGCTAATGGCACATATTAAATTATTAGAAAAATATTGGAAAAATACAGTCTACAAACGTTCCTATGACCAGTAGAAAAATTGGGAGTAGAGTCTACTTATTTCGATTTGGAGAAGAGGTTGAAGAGCCCTCGACGTTTTTTCTGGTTTGATGTTTTTCGATCAGGGAGATGGCCGTCACTTCTGAAAATCGTCTCGTGTTGCGCGCTCGTTTTCTTTCCCTCGCTTTTTCCCGCTCTCTCTTTCTCTCTCTCTCTCACTCTCTCACTCTCTCCATCTTATTTTGTTACCAGGGTTGAAAAAACGCTTCGCGGCTTTTCAACCCTGGCCCCGTCTAGGACCGATGAAAGTCTTCAATTTGCATGCTTCTTCCCTGAAATCTATCAGCAAAAGAGTGAAAAACGGCTTTATATAGGCTATCCCACTTCCGGCTTATGCTAATTGATCCCTAACAAAGAGGGTGGGCGAGAATTTTACAAAAATTTGTTTTTAATAGCGAAAATAGCAATTTTTCAAAGATTTTATGTGCGTGCAGTCGATTCCGGACTCTTCTTTGCCTAATGACGTTTCTGCCCAATCGAAAAAATTCTTCCCCAAGGCTGTAGATGCGGAACATCCTCACGGAAGTTGCATGCAAATGCACACACAGAGACAGACATTATTCTGAATTCCGATGACACTCCCGAAAATGGGATTCCCGAAAATTGGTTTCCCGAAACTCGGAGTCCCGAAAATCCGAGTCCCGAAAAATCTGAGTCCCGAAAATCGGAGTCCCGAAAAATCTGACTCCCGAAAATCGGAGTCCCGAAAACTCCGACTCCCGAAAATCTAAGTCCCGAAAATACCCGCAGTGATTTGGGTTTTTTTTGGGCCGGAAGCCTAAAAACCAGTAGCCAAATTTTCGGGATTCAGATTTTCGGGAGTCAGATTTTTCGGGACTCAGATTTTCGGGACTCAGATTTTCGGGAGTCAGATTTTTCGGGACTCAGATTTTTCGGGATTCCGATTTTCGGGGCTCCGAGTTTCGGGAAACCAATTTTCGGGAATCGGATTTTCGGAATTATAAGCAAACCCCATTATTCTTTATATAGTAGGATTTGGAGTATCGACAATTCCAAAAACTCACTCATTACTATCGATACTCTCGCTCCTCGTGTCGCTAAACGTGGCCTTCCTCTGCATCAAAGTGGCGGGAGGGCTGACTGGGGTTCCCGGAGTTCCAGGCGTACTCGGGGTAGGCGGGGCATCGGTTGAAGGGATGCTGTTTCTAAACGCAACTCCTCGTATCGGCTATCTTAAATTATATACAAACCTATCCGTTATCGACAGCGACTTCATCGCCGAAATACCCCTAGGTATCGTTTTTGCGCCGGCGAAGACAGACCGGTTTGCCTGAAAAATGAAAGTTTTTTGGTTTGCGCAATTCTTCATGATTCTATTAGAGTCATTACATCATTAGAGTTTTTACACATCATTAGAGTTATTTTCATGGGTAAAAACAAGTGTTACCTGCAAAAGCTCGTGCGCCGACCCGATATTTCGACCCGGGTCTCCTTGAGGTGTGATTTTGACATAGACGAGCAGGCTGCTGAGCTCGATCTCCTCGCTGAATTGGTTCTTCAGCGGGACCGAGCGGTAGCCTAAAAAAGATTTTTTTATTCTATCACTTGCTTTTTCTCCTCTCTCTCTCTCTCGTCTCTCTCTCTCTCTATCTCTCTCCTCTCTATCTCGCTCACCTGTCCTAATGCAATCAAGCGGAAACACGGCTTGCCCGATGAAAGGATCTGTTTTTGGCCCGACGAAGTCACCGTCTTCTACCTGAATTTTTTAGATTGGTCGGTTGTTCTCTTTCGCACTCGCGCTCTCTCTCCTCTCTCTCTCTCTCTCGCTCTCTCTCTCGCTCTCTCTCTCTCTCTCCCTCTCTCTCTCGCAAAAACGTAAAAACAAGAACCCACCACAAACCGTATCAACGCCATCTCCGGGCACTGCACCTGATACTCAAAGCTGTTGTTCCACACCGGGTTCAGCCCGTTCGACGCTAAAAATGGGCTCGTCTACCGTAACCCATTTTTTGTACCGATAGTTTTCGTCTTGTAGGCCATATTATCGCAATCCACACCTATCACCTCTACTTCCACGTACGGCGAGCAGATACCCTAAAACGGTACGTTGCATTTGGATTCTAAACCCAAAAGAACAACCCGAAAACGATTAAACTAGGCTAAAAATTTCCCCCTCCATAGTACGAATTCTTTAGACGAAGTGAACCGACGAGGATCTAAATGTTTTTTTAAAATTAGTTAGCTTGATTTAGCTGAGCCTATTTAGAACCGTCTAGGTTTAAAAACCGATATAACTAATGTTTTGCGTTTGATACCTTATTTTTGTCCTTTCTCGACAAGTGGCGACCGGCGATGACGGTGATGGTAAGCGAAATTGGGGTCGACGTTTGGAGCTGGAATACGGTATTTTAACGGAACCGTAACAGACCAAAGATTTCATAACTTATTTGAAGGATTTTAATTCCTAGAATCTATTGCGTAGCGTTGACTACGTACGCCCGCTTTTGATTCCGCTACTTTGTACGCGCCCTAGAAATTGGTCACAATTTTGGTAACTGCGCTGTTAAAAAAGTATTTCTAACGCCTAAATTGTACCTCAGTATTCTTTGGCTTCTTAAAAGAGGTAATTATTTAATTCCACACTGCTAAAACAGAACCTCGCTTACAGGGAGACGTTTTTGAGTGTCGTCGGGACTTTGGTACGGGACCAAGCTTATCTTGTGCAGAATTTTACGCTGATTGCGAATATGGTAATCATTTTGCGGACTAAGCTACGGTCTAAGCTACATAAGCTACTTAACTCAAAAATGCTGGAATTTTGAAAATTTTTGTAAAATCCTGCCAATTGATCAAATTTTTCCAACTTTTGAATGATTTTGGAAAAGATGGTACATTGTATAGAGAATTTTTTCTGAACAAGATGTACTATTTGGTTTTGTCTAAAACCTGTTTTGAAGTCTTTTATGACTCTTGAAAGTAGCCGATTTTGGGCTGTTTTGAGGTTTAAATTGTTCATAACTTTCGCGAAATGGCTATTCCGCAAAAACGGTTACCATATTCGCAATCAGCGTAAAATTCTGCACAAGATAGGCTTGGTCCGATGCCAAAGCCCCGACGACACTCAAAAACGTCTCCTTGTTAGTTAGAATCATTCACCTCGAAATTTTGATAGTGTAATCGGAAAATCTAAGATTTTCATACCTTCTCCGCCTGGATCGGATCATAGTTCGGGTCGATGATGTAGGCCGGCTTCAAAATATAGCCGCACTGACCGTTCGCCAGGAATTTCCCCTGGTTCAGCTGCATTGGGCGATCCCCTGTTTGGTAGTTCAGGGCCACCTAAGTTTTCAGAATGTGCAAAATTACATGCAATTACCATATGACACCCGGCGTTCCACATGGGCATCGGGTTGAAATTGGCGGACGTGATGCGAGAGCCGAGGGGGTAGACACGCGTGATTTGGCGAATGTTGAACGTGACCAGGCCCTAGAATTCTTGGTTCGAAGGGGGTGGGACTTCGCGAAGGGGCCGATTTTGGGAAGAACTAGCATTTTAAAGGGGCGATGAAGTCATGATTATTGCCTTTTCTAGCTAGACATTTTGATGGCTGTTCGATTTTTCATTTTCAGATTCAAAAACTTTTCCAAAAAATGTGAACGCGAAAGCAGCATTTTTCCTCCATCCACCTTTTCCAACAGCTTCTCCAGCTTCGTCTCGACGAACGAGCACATCTCCCAGAATTTTCCATGGCCCACACGTTCCGGGTTGAAGGGGACCGCCTAGAAATTTGCACAAGCTACCAAAGGTTCCAAATTTCAATACCTGACAGTAGACGACCAGGTTCGATAGTTCAGACGCTATCCGGGCCGTCTTTTCCTTGGTTCTCAGGATTGAGACCCTCTCATTAACGGATCGGGT